AGGAGCACCCTAATACATAAAAAAACTTCTGGGAGGTATCAGGGGAGAGATTGACAGCAATGCAATCATAGTAGAAGACTTTAACACCCCACTAACATCACTGGAAATATCCTCTAGACCAGTGGTCAGCAAACTATGGCTCAGCAAAACGCAGCTCATGAGCTACATGTGGTTCTTTGGCCCCTTGAGTGTGGCTCTTCCACAAAATAACCACTTTTCCACAAATTACTGACTTCTGCAATGGGCCATGAAGTTTCAATCACACTGTATGTGCGTGCACGCAAGTGGTATTTTGTGGAAGAGCCACACTCAAGGGGCCAAAGAGCAGCTTGTGGCTCGCGAGATGCAGTTTGCCGACCATGGCTCTAGACAAAAAATTAGCAAAGAAACAGCAGTCCCATATGACTCACTAGATCAGATGAACTTAATTAACATTATTAGAACATTCCAACCCACCCCAAAACTACAGAATATACATTCTTTTCAAGTGCACATGGGACATTTCAAAAGATACACCACATACTAGGACACAGGCAAAGTATCTCCAATTCAAGAAGATTGAAATCATATCAAGCATTTTCTCAGGCACGATGGCATAATATTAGAAATAAACTACAATATATACAATAAAAAAATTAAAACACTTGGAGGCTGAATAGCATACTATAAAACAATTATTGGGTTACCAAAGAAATCAAAGAAGAAATAAAAAACATCCTGGCAACAAATCACAATGAAAACACAACAATCCAAAATCTTTGGGACACAGTGAAAGCAATTCTGAGGGGAAAGTTTATAGCATTACAGGCCTACCTAAAAAACAAGAAAATCTGGTAATAAACCATCTAACTCTGCGACTTGAAAAATTAGAAAGAGAGCAACAAGAAAAGCCCAGAGTGAGCAGAAGGAAGGAAATAATAAATATCAGAGCAGAAATAAATGACATAGAGACCAAAAAGAACAACAAAAAAGATCAATTAAACTAAGAGCTGGTTCTTTGAAAGGATAAACAAGATTGATGAACTGCTGCCAGGCTCACTAAGAAGCAAAAAGAGAAGACCCAAATAAACAAAATCAGAAACAAAAGAGGCGAAATAACAACAGGCCCCACAGAAATATGAAGGATTACAAAAAAAAACTATGAACAACTCTATTCCAAGAAACTGGTCAAAATAGAAGAAATGCATATATTCCTAGAAAAATATGACCTTCCAAAACTCAACCAGGAGGAATCAAAAAAATCTGAATAGGCCAATAACTATGGAGGAAATTGAAGCAGTCATCAAAAAACTTCCAACAATCAAAAGCCCTGGACCAGACGGCTTCACAGGGAATTTTTGTCAAACATTCAAAGAAGAAATGAAACCTATCTTCCTTAGACTATTCCAAACAATTTAGGAGGAAGGAACACTTCCACCCTCTTACTATGAAGCCAACATTACTCTAATCCCAAAACCAGATAAAGACAACACAAAGAAAGAGAATTATAGGAAAATATCCCTCATGAACATAGATGCCAAAATCCTCAACAAAATATTAGCAAATCAAATCCAGCATTACATTAGAAAGATCATACACCATGACCAAGTGGGATTTATTCCAGGGATGCAAGGATGGTACAATATCCACAAATCAATAAACGTGTTATATCACATAAACAAACTGAGAGATAAAAACCATATAATCATATCCATTGATGCAGAAAAATCATTTGACAAAATCCAACACCCTTTCTTGATAAAAACGCTCAGCAAAGTGGGAATAAAAGGATGATACTGCAACATAATTAAAGCCATGTATGACAAACCCACAGCCAACATCATACTCAATAGGCAAAAAACTAAAATTATTTTCCCTAAGAACAGGAACATGACAGGGATACCCACTCTCACCACTCATGTTTGACAGAGTACTGGAAGTACTAGCCATTGCAATCAGACAGGAAGAAGAAATAAAAGGCATCCAAGTTGGAAAAGAAGAAGTAAAACTGTCCTTATTCACAGATGACATGATATTGTACATAGAAAACCCCAAAGACTCCATCAAAAAACTACTAGATTTAATAAATGAATTCAGCAATGTAGCAGGATAAAAAGTTAGCACCAAGAAGTATATGGCTTTTCTATACACAAATAATGAACTCACAGAAAGAGAAACTTAAAAAGCAATCACATTTACCATTGCAACAAAAAAAATAAGATACCCAGGAATAAATTTAACCAAGGAGATAATGCAGTGGTTCTCAACCTTCCTAATGCTGCGACCCTTTAATACAGTTCCTCATGTTGTGACCCAACCATAAAATTATTTTCATTGCTACTTCATAACTGTAATTTTGCTACTCTTATGAATGGTAATGTAACTATCTGATATGCAGGATGTATTTAGGCGATCCCTGTGAAAGGGTCGTTCGACCCCCAAAGGGGTCGCGACCCACAGGTTGTGAACC